CTGTGGTTGGGTTTATATGCAGAGGGTGGAGGCGGGTGTGGGTTTCAGGGCGCTGCCCAGAGGGGTGGGGGAAACCCCTTTCCCGTCCAAGCCATGTCCTCGCCCTTGGGGCTCCTTCCCCTGCCCCATGCCAGGTGCTGACCAGCAGGAGGATGTTTATGGAGACAGTACATGGGCCTCCAGCGCCGTCCAAACAGGGGCCGGCAGATGCCCGCCAGCCAGCCTGCTGCCGCGGGCCAACCCATGGTTAAAGATTAGCCAGCGCTCCGGATGTGAAAATCTGAACAAACAGACTCTCGGGCTGATGGCAGGCCCTGCTTCAAAGGAACCCCTTGCCTGCCCCTGAGGGCTCCGGCACCAGTGCCCAGGCCCTGCCTTGGTTGCCTTGCACTGGCTGGCAACATGTGGGCCCAGTGGGCCCCTGGCCAGAGCTGGCCCCGGTGCCCTCAGTCTGGCCCCTCCTCTCCTCTCCCTTCCTTTCTCCCCACTGGCCTCAGATTGTCCTGGGCATTTGCTAGTGCACTTTTCCCACTGAGTGCCTCTCACTTCTGTCTGTCAGTTCGAACTCTCTTGTCTTTCAGGGCCCAGGTCAAATCTTGTTTCTTCCAAGAGCCTGTGCCTGACTCACTGTGAAACAGGAAGGGGACCTCAGGCTTGGTTGGAGAGCATTATCCTAAAGGGAGTATTTATACTATAGAAGAGAAGGCTCAGAGGGGGTGCCATGGAGCGGATGTGGGATACCTCTGGATCTGTGCCTGGACAGCTTTTCTAACCATTACAGTTGTTCAGAGTTAGGGGACAGATAGCCTTGGGCTGTGGTGAGCTTCTTGTCCCCGGAAGCATTCTAGGCAAGGCTGGGTGAGAACTTGGCAGAGAAAGATGGATTTCCTCTGGAGACACTAAGAATTTTGTAGGGAAATTATATTCAAATATTTTCATGCCTCCAAGCTTTAATCCCCCCACAGCCGACTGGCTCCTTGGGGCCCAGGTGCTGGCTTCTCTCTTTAACCACTGCCTAGGCCTGGGCACACAGCGTGTCAGTGAATGGGTGACCCGAGTGCCACCTTGAGGGGAGGAAACCCCTGCCCTGGCCTCACTGCCCTTGTGGGGCCTGGTTATTTCTGCCCTGGCGCAAAGGATCTGTGCCGCCCCCCCCCACCAGGAGCTGAAGACTGACAAAGTCCTTCCCGAAAGAGGGGACACCGAGAGGGGAGCCAGCCGAGCAGCGTCCCCTGTGGCCTTGTGCCAGTCCCTGCTCCGGGCACGGCGTAAACACCTCCAGAGTGGGCAGCCCTGGGTCCCTGGCCCGGATGGTAGGACTTGTTGCTTCCAAACAGGCCACCCCACTGCTTGGGGTGACAGGTTGCCCTCTGTCCTTTCTCCAAGCTGTGACCCTGGGCTGAGGTTGGCCTCCAGGCTCTCTCCGTGGCTTTGGGGGCTTGACCCTTCCCTGGCTTTCCGTTAGCTCTGACCTCTGCTGACCCTTCTGCCGAGGGCGCTGTGCCCAGCTCCTCCGTCTCCAGTGTCACCTATTTCAGGACCCGGCACAGCTGGGTGCACTGAGGGGGTGGTTATTTTGGAGCTTGCTGGCAGCCTGCAGCTGCTCCTGACCCCGAGGGGGCGGCCTGGCTGGGAGAGAAGACATACTTGGGCTGGGCACTGGCCCCGGGGATTCCATTTTTAGCTGTTTCCCAGCATCTCCTGTACCTTTTCTCTCGACTCCTCCAAGATTTCAAGCAAAGCCAAAGGGGTCATTTTCCTGCCCTGCCTCCTCTCTCCCCACCCCCCTGCTATTTCTCTTTCCTTCTCTTCTTTCTCCTCTAATCTCCGCTTTGTAGCTTCTCCTTCCTGGTCCTCAGTCAGGGATGCCATTCATGACCGATGTGAAGTCCTACACAGGTGCAGAACGTTCATTGCCTGGTGCAGGGGGACCTGACTTCAGTTGACAAACAACCCGAGTAAGCACTGGTACCTGAAGTTATCAAGTACCTAGGTCCCAGGGGCCCCCCCACCCTGTCTCTGACCCCCATGTCACCATCACAACACAGTTGTGATTACCCCCATTCTCTAGCTGAGTGACCTGAGGCTGGGAGGAAAGTTGATTCAAGTGCTAGCTTGGACATTTAAACCCAGGCCTGTATCACCACAGAGCCCATGCACTTTCTTCTGAGCCCCGGGGCATGTAAACAATAACAGTGGGTCATATTAACCTCATGATTATTACGGGCCAGGTACTACTCTCCAGGTGCCCTCTGTAGCTTATTACATTTGGACTTCACAGCATCCCTTCTGAGCGGAGTATTAGAATACAGATTTTATGCACCTCAGTAAATGCTGATTTCATGGCTGAAGAAGAGAGGCCCAGAGAGGTTAAGCTATTTATCTAAGGTGATATGGCCAGGAAATGGTGCAGCCAGCATTTCAACCCAGGCTGATGACTTCAAAATCCTTACACTTAACTATGCCTCTGTCCTGCCTACCAGTATATGGATTTGGGTTACTAAAAAACCCCAAATACCCTTAGGTTACATTATGAGAAGTAGAGTGTAAATATCAAGGGAGGTGGTGGCCACACTGTGCCTTGAGCTGGTCAGGGAACATCTGGAGTACTGAGTCTGGTTCTGTTTATTGTCCAAGAGGTGGGAAGGTGTGTGGTGGGTCTGAGTATAGGGGAGTTGTTTTCTCCACGGGGCTGCCCCAGAGGTAGTACTGGCACAGAAGGACATTGAAGCTGAGAAGTTAAGTAAATCTATCCAAGATATCCTTGGATACAGGGAGGTAGATTTCAGTCTAAGAGAAGGAACCACTTTCTTAGAGGAGCTCAGCAGTGGCTCGGGTTGCCTGGGAGGCCCAGTAGTGGGCATATTCAAGTACAGAAAGACCCCTGAAGGGACAGAGCTCAGGGGAGCGCACATCTAGCCCCATTCAGAAGTCTGTGCTGATGGTCTGCCCACTCCATGGGCCCTGGGCTAATTGTCCTGAGTGTGTGTGGGGTGGGGAGAGGAGTGTGGGGGTACATATGTGTGTGAGCCGTGTGACGGGCTTCTTCCTGTAGGCTCTGGCTGGGCATCTCTGAACCTTTTGTTTTCTAGTCACCCTGCTGTCACTGCCCCTTCCTCTCCATCTCCAACCCTTGAGTCCTCTAGGGCCAGTGCCTGCAATCCCTGAGGGGGGGGAGAGCAGGGGCTGTTCCTTGGGGGCGCTGGTCAGCCCATAGCCTCTCCCAGGTCCCCACGACTGTCTCTCAGGCCTCCTCCTCCTGTTTGGGCCTCCCTGCCTCTGCCTCTCTGCAGCCCCCAGCCTCTCTGCACCATCACTCTCACAGAGTCAATTCCCTGGAATAATTGCATTTTCCAGTTGGCTCCCTTCTTCTTGCCAAGCACGATGCTGGGAAATCCCAACCAGCCAGGCCCCAAGAGGCTTCTCCAGAGAGGGCATGGGGTTTGGGGGAAGGGCCCAGCACCCTCTCCTTGCCGGGACCCAAACAACACTGTTCCTGAAAGGGGCAGGGAGAGAACAAAAACAAGGAGGCTTTAGAGACTGTCTCTAGATTCAGCTGGAGCTGAGTTCTGGCTTCAGCTGCCCATATCAGTCCAGTCCTCCAAGCTTTGCTTCCACATCGAGCACCCCAGCTATCCTTACCCAGGTCCTGGAGGGAAAGCAGATTCTCCCTTGGGGAGGCTCAGAGAAAAGACTCCCAGGGAGGGATTGGCTCATGATGTGGTCTACAGTGGCACTAGCCAAATTTGGGGACTGTAACTCCCACAGAGGGGAGTTAAATAATAAATAAGGAGGGCCTGAAAGCGAAGAATGTGGTGTCAGGAGTTGGATATACCTTGCTTCCATCTCGGATCTGCCACTTGGTGGCTGTCACATCACATCTGTCAGCTTTAGCTCTATAATGGGAACACTTCCATGGGATGTTTTAAGGATGAAATGCAGGGGTAATTCATCATGCATGATGACTTTTATTATAAATGATAGGACTCCATAAAGTAGGGACATAACACAGCCATTAAAAAAATATGGTGTTGGAAACCTGGTTTTTGGCATGAAAAGGTGCTCAGGACATATTGGAAAAGCTAGCTTTGAAAAGGAAATCTATGTAGCAGGGCATGGAGTCCATGCCCATGGATGGCTTTATGGGATTCACAGATGTCCTGAAATTATCCACAGAATTTAGGAAGAATAGGTGTTTTTCTGAGGACATAGGTCAAGGTTATCACATTTTCAAAGGGATTTGTTACCTATAAAAGGTTAAAAACTACTGGAGTTTACATAGCATGACTCGGTTTTTGTATTAGAAAAAGTAACTGAGGAATATATTGGGGGAAAAAGCTGGAAGGTCTTCACCCAAGTATTAAGAATATTTTTCTCCAGATGGTGGGCCCAGAGGTGATTATTATTATTTTTTTGCTGAACGGTCTTTTCTACAAAATAGTCTTACTTGTATGATTAAGAAGAGAAAGGGGTTGATTTCCAGTTAAGTCACTTTCAAAAGAAAATCCTGGATAAATTTAAGTTCTTTCAGCCTCAGTGTCCTTCCGTGGCAATGATAACTCAAGAGGTAATTGTGAGGATGAGACCATTTATGCAAAGAGTTCTTCTGGGGAAGGGGGTTCCCTCTGAACTTCCAGCGGGGTAGAATGTCCACAGTGCTTTCAACAAATATTTACTGCTGTCGACTCAAGTGCTCGGGGATCAAAAGGGAGTTAAGTTAATAATAATAAAAAAACTTTTACAAGCGTGCCATGTAGAAGGAATGTTTTTAATTTTGGTGCCCGTCCTTCCAGCCTTGATCCTTTGCTTAAACAAACAGATGTCCTGCGTACTTTGTTTCCCGACCCTGCCCCTGAGCCTCCGTCCTAAGCCTCTTCCATGCTGTTCACGATGCCGTCGGTATTTCAGGGTGCAGACTGGAAAGGCGGGCGGGAGGAAGCGCGCTGGCCCAGCGGGGCCCGCGTGACGGTCGCCCTGTCTCTCCCCTTCCCTGGCCGCAGACAGCGAGCTGGTGCTCCCGGACTGCCTGCGGCCGCGCTCCTTCACCGCCCTGCGGCGGCCGTCATTGCGGCGCGACGCCGACGAGGCGCGCCTCTCCGTGAGCCTGTGCGACCTCAACGTGCCGGGCGCCGACGGCGACGACGCCGCGCCGGCCGCCGGCTGCCCCATCCCGCAGAACTCGCTCAACTCGCAGCACAGCCGCGCGCTGCCCGCGCAGCTCGATGGCGACCTGCGCTTCCACGCGCTGCGCGCCGGGGCGCACGTGCGGATCCTGGACGAGCAGACCGTGGCGCGCCTGGAGCACGGGCGCGACGAGCGCGCGCTCGTCTTCACCAGCCGGCCCGTGCGCGTGGCCGAGACCATCTTCGTGAAGGTCACACGTTCGGGCGGCGCGCGGCCCGGCGCGCTCTCCTTCGGCGTCACCACGTGCGACCCCGGCACGCTGCGGCCCGCGGATCTGCCCTTCAGCCCCGAGGCCCTGGTGGACCGCAAGGAGTTCTGGGCCGTGTGCCGCGTGCCCGGGCCCCTGCACAGCGGCGACATCCTGGGCCTGGTGGTCAACGCCGACGGCGAGCTGCACCTCAGCCACAACGGCGCCGCGGCGGGCATGCAGCTGTGCGTGGACGCCACGCAGCCGCTCTGGATGCTCTTCGGCCTGCACGGAGCCGTCACGCAGATCCGCATCCTCGGTGAGTGCCTCCCCCGAGCGCCCCTCCCACAGCCCCAGCACCGTGCCTTTTCTGGCGGCGAGGGCCCGTCCCGGGAAATCGGGGAAAGGAAAGAGGGCGAGTGCGCCCTGCCCCACTGCCTCGCGCGGGTCTTGCCACCGAGTCACAGGCGCCGAAATGAGTTGTGGGCCGGGCTCCATCGGCTAGGCCTTGCCTCCAGTCTCCCCAGACGCATCCTGGGGGCGGGCAGAAAAGTGTGGATCACCGAGTTTCGCTCCCAAAATCTGATTAACCCACGTCCGCACAGATGCATAAACAGCCCAGGGGCCACTTAAAAATGAGAAAAAAGGTTTCCGCCAGCAATTAACTTCCTGAGGCTCAGTTTTCATTTCTCCAAAATGGGAATTAAAGTCTCTGCCTCTTAAGGATGGCTGTGTGTCTAGATAAGAAAAAGAGTTTGCTATGCCCGTAGCCAGGTGTTTGTGCAGTGTGGTGCCTGGGTTGGGAGCCTATGGGGAATCTCTGAGCAGAGGGCCTTGAGGAAATGGGGTTGCAGAGGTCTGGGCCTTTCTTTCCTGGGTTTGAATGGACTGGTGGATGTGGACTTGTGAAAGTTATGTTTCTCAGAGTATTCTGTGAGGAAACGTGGGGGATTCTTTACTGCAGAACTCCTCAGACCCTTTAATAGGCAATGTGAATCTTTAAGGAGGGGGGTGGAGGTGGTTATGATGTACAGCTTCTTCTCAACTAATTTGACCAGAAGTCTTTTTTTCACAAAGCATCTCCAGGGACCTCTGTTTCCCCAGAGTGCACAAGTTTCATACTTTGTAAGAGCTGGCCTTCTAAGCAGGTGTAGTAGACTGGGCTAATTCCATTAGAGTCATTAGGAGGACCTGGTACAGATTTTTGAATCCCACCTGCAGAGATTTTGATCCTGTAGATGTTGGATAAGTCCTGGGCATCTGATTTTTTTTTTTTTTTAAGATTTTATTTTTAGAGAGAAGAGAGGGGTAGAGAGAATCCCAAACAGGTTCCCGATGCGGGGTTTGATCTCACTCACGACTCTGAGATTATGACCTGAGCTGAAATCAAGACTCGATGGTGTAACCCACTGAGCCACCCAGGCACCCGTCTGAAATCTTTATTTAAGCAGGTTTGCTTAGGCAAGTGTGGAGACCTCTGGGCTTCATAGCCCTATCCTAGACCTCACCCCAGGACACTTTGTAGACAGGGTAATGTGTGGATGTAAGTGAATGTGTGTTATGCACTAAGATGGGTATGTCTGTGTATAGGCACACGTGAGTAACTAAATGCATGCATATTTGTGTGTATAATGCTGTTGGTGATTGTGTGTTAGAGCTTGTGAAATCTGATAAAATAAGTGGGGACTTCCTACTCTGGAAAGAGACCAAATGAAAACGGAGTGAAAAAAAAATCTGAAAAGAAATGAGGCAAGATGCTAAGAAGTTATGATTGAGGGAAGATAACATCAGGAAGGAATGAAAAGAAATCAGGACGGAAAGAAGTTGGGGTGAAAATTCAGGATGGGATAAAAAGAAATCAGACTGGGGTGCAGAAAAAACTCAGGCTGAGGTTAAAAAAAAAATACTTGGCTACACTCACTGGGAGACACTGCTCCTCAGATGAAGGAAGTTGTATAAGGGGAGGGTACTATCCTGCCTCAGCACCAGCTAATAATAGATAAGTAGCTTTCCACTGAGACTTCTGTTCCCCAAAGAAGCTTACTAGACGCAGGGGAAGCTTAAAAAAAAAATCAGGACTTAAATGTAAGTGGGCCGAGGTGGGTGTTTAAGAACAATCATCCACATATATGCCAAACACGGTGCACCTGGGCTGTAGGAGAACTGGGCATCTCAGTCAGCAAATTGGTGTTTGGGGATCCCGATGGACTGCAAAGGAAAAACAAACCAGTGACAGTGTGTGAGGGGTAGTTATTTACCTTACAGAGGAGTGCTGTGCTTCGTGGAAGCCTAAATGAACTAAGAATGACAGGATATTTCCTTTACTCCAAAACTATCGCTAGTTTCATACTTAATGAGAAAATATGAGAAACATTCTCGTTAAAGTCAGGAATATGATAGGGGGATGCCTTAAGTATTGTTCTGAAAATACTAGCCAGTGCAATAAGGCAAGAAAACGAAATAGGTGTGAATTTCTGAAAGAAGATGCTAATTAACTTGGAAACTATTAACACCAGAGAAACCCTGTGGATATCTAATGCATATTCTTAGAAACAGTGACTACTGATTGACTTAGAACACCTGATGATAAAAGGATTTCATTGAGCACTTATGTGTAGGGCAGTATGTTAGAGCCTGTGGGAGAGTCACAGGTGAATACCATTTCCTGCTCTCAGGAAGCTTATAGTTCACCTGGGAAAGCAAAACTGCGTACCTGGGCAAAGAACAAATACCACCCCAGCTCTGTCGTTTAGGCCCATATATGTGGTGTGTGTGTCCAGTCAGTGCTAAATAAAGTAATGTGGTTTGTGGGGGTGGTCAACGCTGCCCAGAGGAGGGGGTTTGAGGACAGCCCCAAGGGGCTCCCTGGACAGTTAGCTCTTTGGGGGCAAGGGCTCTGTCGGTCTTGTTCTCAGTGTTATGTTTACACAGTGGATGGTACCTGGTAGGTACCTGGTACCTTGTTGAAGGGAGGAGCAAGGAGGGGAGGAAGAAAAGAGGAAGGTGAGGAGAGGAGTGGAAGAGGGAGAGAAGAGAGGGAGGGAAGGAAGGAGGGAGAGAGTGTAGCACAGAGTGAGCCTGGGAGATGCTGAAGGGCCTCCGAAAGGTGCCATTGCAGAGGAGATGGTGGGTGGTATCTGGGGGCAGTGACAGAGCACAGGGCTTGGAACAGGAGGGCCACGCTAGGTGGGAGGAGGGGGCCTTTGTTCTCTGGCATGGGAAACCGGGAAGGTGAGGATGCATAGGAAGGGTGGAGGTGGGATTCTAGGCAGAGGGCTTGTTTGGAGACTGCTGATATAGGAACACCAGAGCAGGAAGTGGCCCTCCCGATTGTAGGTGGCAACAGCGGGGGCAGGGCGCTGGGCCACCCATGGAATCCTGCCCTGAGCCCGCCCAGTGGCTGGGCTGTCTGGTCGTGCTGTGTCAGCACTTTCCTGGGAGCCTCTAGGAGGAGCGGAGACGTGAGCTTCCTCCCAGTAGGCCTCTCAGTGGCTAGTGCATTGCTCCCCCCCCCCCCCGCAGGCTCCACCATCCTGGCAGAGCGGGGCATCCCGTCACTCTCCTGCTCCCCTGCCTCCACGCCAACCTCGCCCAGTGCCCTGGGCAGCCGCCTCTCTGACCCCCTGCTCAGCACGTGCAGCTCCGGACCTCTGGGGAGCTCTGCTGGTGGTAAGTAGGCTGGCCGCTCGGGTTCCGCGGTGTCCGTGGCGGCCTCCCCACCCCAAGACCCCCTGGCTGAGGCGGCTGTGCAGCCTACAGGTCAGAGTTGGGCGCTGGAGGACCTGGAGGCAGGCTCAGTGAACCCTTGTTGCGTGGTGATTTCTGGGGTGAATCCCACCCTGTCCGCCAGCTAGGCACCTTTCTCCAGAGCACTTTTTAGCACACAGGGAAGACCAAAGGATAGCTCAGAAGAGGCCTTCCTTAAAAGACTCTGGACTCTGGGCCCCCTCCCTTCCTCCACCCCTCTTCTCTCACTGCCTCGTGGGCACCCTGGCCCCTCATCGAGTGCCTCCTAGTGCCCAGGAAGTGGGTCGTCAAGGGAAACAGGCAGACCCCAGTCAGTGGAGTGAGAGACCAGAGGGCTTTCTTCCCATGACCCTGGGGCCATGTCTCCGCTGACTGGTGTCCCCTTGTCCCCAGGGACGGCCCCCAACTCCCCAGTGAGCCTGCCTGAGTCGCCGGTGGCCCCAGGCACAGGACAGTGGAGCGATGAGTGCACCATTTGCTATGAGCACGCAGTGGACACGGTCATCTACACGTGTGGTCACATGTGCCTCTGCTACGGCTGTGGCCTGCGCCTCAAGAAGGCTCTGCACGCCTGCTGCCCCATCTGCCGCCGCCCCATCAAGGACATTATCAAGACCTACCGCAGCTCCTAGCCTGTGGCACCCCACCCTGCACGCCTGCCTCCTCAGGCTTGGGCCCCACTCCAGCCGAGGGGCAAGCCCACAGGGCCCCTTCTCTTCTTCCTCATTTTGGAAACTCTTTTCCCTTCTTCATTAAACAGGGGAAACGGAGGCCCTCGAAGGTTTGGGAAGAAAGGGAGTATAAGGCAGGGAGGTGAGGGGCAGAAACAAGTTGCCCAGCAGAGGCGGGGGAGGAGTCCGCTCTCTTGCTGTCTTTCTCTTCTCTGCACCCACTCTACCCTGCATGCCGAGGGGCTAAACGGGGGTCTCAGCCTATCCTAATCCCTCCCCATCTGGGGCAGATTGCTAGGCAGTCCTCTGGTTCATGTAAGAATTAGAAAGCATGTCCCTTCCTCTGGGCAGATGTGTCCCTGAGCTCGGGCCTTCGGAGTATGGCCTGGACTTCAGTCTCCATTTGTTCTCTCAGCCAGCTCTCCGGGAGCAGTGTACAACCTGCTCGACAGCAGCCCTAGGCAGGTAGCCCCTGAACTGCTGCCTTACTCCCTGACCTGTACCCACCTTCTCCTTCCTCTCTTCCCTGCCCCTCAGGCCTGGCAGCCAGGGGTAAGGCTGGTGGATACCTCTCCCCCTGGGCAAGCGGCAGCCCCCATGCCTTGTCCCTCCCCCACTAACCCAGGACGCGTGGATGGACAGGCCACGGAAGGCTGCAAGTTCCGGGTCTCTGACCCTGTGCCCTGGCCGAGATGCAGAGGGCCCCTTCCTGGCCGTAGCCTTTCTTCCCCAGTCATCTCGCTAGATGCTGCTGCCAGGGACAGCCTCGGTGCGGGCTGGAGAGCAGCGTCCGTCCTCTGGAAGGTTCTCTAAGAGCAGGTTGGCATCTGTGCTCTGAGACCTGTCCTCCCGGATCTCAGTGCTGTCCTGGGCCTGGCTGATACTCACACTGTGGTATACCCGGGTGAGGCCAGGACCCTGGAGTGGGGGTGGGGGTGGGGTGCCCTGGGGGTAAAACCAGCCTTTTTTCTTATTTTTTATTTATTTATTTATTTGGTTTGTGGGTTTTTTTTGGGGGGGGGATTGAGTTGCCATCCCCCAGGGCCCCTAGAAATGCTGCCCCGGTGCGCGGCGTGCCCGGCGAGAGAGGGCTGCAGAGCTAGTTCTCATTCAGAATCTTCCCCAGGCTCCAGCCCAAAGTCCATAGCCATCTCTGCTTACCATGAATTAGAACTCCATAAAAAGAGGCTGAATTGGGAGGCCTCCTATCAAATTGTATCCATTTTACAGAGAGATAAACTGAGCCTCCCTAGTGTCCTGGGGCTGGTGGATCACCCGGAGCCACAAAGTGCCCTTGCTCTCTGGGCTGCTGCAGGGTCATCACAGTTGGCTCCAATACGTCAGGAGGCCCAGGAGCGCCCCCTTCCACGAGGACATACAAAGTTCTGGGAAGGCTGGAAGAGGGGAGCCCCGCTGGGACCAGGGAACAGGGCTGGGAAGGCCTACTCCAGGTAGGGGTGGGGAGGCTGTTCTTAGTAAGGCTCTTTACCGTCAGGAAAGATGAGGAGGGAAGGGACCGGCTCCCGGCACCTCTGGGTAATTTCTGGTTCCGGGGTGGCATGCCCCCCCCCCCCCGCTCTTAGGCTGCAGTTGTCGCAGCCTTGCCTGCCCTACCCTGGTAGGCCACGGGCTGGCGCCCGCTCTCGACACTCTTGGCCTAGTTTTCTCCCTCCGATGGCTTTCCATGTCCATCAGAGACTGCTGCTTCCTGTGGCTGGCAGAGTGGGATTCTAGACCTGGCCACCAGACGGCTGTGTGGCCCTGGCTGGGTCATAGCCCTTCTCAGCCTCAGCTGCCACCTCTGTAAAAGGACTGTGTGGGGAGGAGAGCAGACTTTGTGTGACTCTTGGGACTTCTTTGATGATGGGCTGCTGTGGGGTGTTGGGTGGGACAGCACTTGGGGGTGTGTGTCAGAAGGCCAGGCTGGGTCTTTGTCGGCCCCTGCCTTGCATTGGGCTTCCAGGAAGTCATGGTTCCACGGTGGGTCTCCACTCCCCCGTTCCTGACCCTGAAGACCCTCCTTCCATGGGAGTAGGGTTGGGGGCAAGGGGAGGTGGTGGCCCCATCTCGTCAGGAGTCTCATGTCAGAGGCAAGGGAAGGTCTTAAGTGCAGGGGCTGCGGGGCCTGAGGTTTGGGGCGAGGAAGCCATCCGTACCACTGTCTCTGTTAGTGCTGGGATAGTTGCTGCCTCCTTTGTGAACTTGGGTCGCTGTGATTGTGAATAAAGGTGATTTCGTACCAGCCTGAGGGCTGTGCTGTGCTGTGTGGAGGGCTGCGGAGGGAGGACCGAGGTGGGGGGGGGTGGTGAAGGTGAAGGGTCAGGTGTCAACAATCAGGGGAGACTCCCTGGGGTGGGGGGGCGGGAGCATGACCTGGGGCTTGGACAGCAGGGGCCAGAATGCCAGGTGAGAAAGGGAGAAGACGCTGCCCTGTGGTGCCCTCAAATCCCTGGATCCCTGCCGAGCAGTGTTTATTGGGGCAGGAGCAGAGTCCCTGAGGCCTGCTCAGCTCTCTATGAAGGCGGAGGTGGGCCCAAACCTGGCTCCAAACCCTTGTGGGGTGGCACACTGCCACCTAGGGGCTCATGGGAGGATGATAAACCCGTCACAAGGTCAGGAGGGGCCAGTGCTGAATGGGTGAGGGCAGCACAGAAAAGGGAGGGCTCTCCCTGGGCCTTTAGAGAAACCTTCTAGATGTGCTGAGTCTATCTGGTTGGCAGTAGAAGCTGGGAGTGGTGGAGCGGATCTAGGCACAGCGTGGGAATCATGCTCATTTGGTGGGGCTGGGACTCCAGCACAGAGCATGCCTGCCTTCCTGGCCTCTCCCCTGGGAAGATGCTCTGGTCCCTACAGCAGGACAACCCAGCCCTGTTTACCGGAGTCCGGCAAAAGCAGGGGAGCATCTGGGGCTCCAAGCTGAGGGGCCAGCCAGGCCTGCTGGATGTGGGTCTTTTGCCCCAAGATCTGCATTTCTCTCTCTCAAAGCCTTGGCAACTGCCCAGAAAGCTTCCTGTAGGTGGGGAAGGGGAGAAGTGGGGGAAGGGAGGAGAAACTTGAGCATGACTCTCACCAACAAAAGTGGCAACTTACCTGCCTCCCCCCCGCCCCTCCAGTGTCCTCAGAGGGGCCCCGGATCCTGCAGTTCATGCTGCATTCTGGATAAGGTGCCTTTTGCTATGCAACTGGATGGCTTTTCTGATGGCAGGGAGAATTAAGAGGTGATTCTGTTCAGTTAAAAAGGCCAAAAACTTTATTTAGTTTTCAGGGAAATACAAGATGTAAACATAAACAAAATATAAAACAAAACAACCCAAATCTTACAGTCTAGAAGCATGCCAAGACAGGGTATTTTCTGCAGACCAAAGAGTCCCGTCAGCATGATAAAGGACACCTGGAAAGTGGCAGGCCAAGGGGTTGGGTTCCTTCCCCAAGGACACTGCATTTTTGTGATGAGAACAATTAAAAAAAAAAACAACCCACTATTAAAAATATTAGAAACATGGAGATAGTTTAGCACCACCATTGATCCTGGAAATTTTTTAGCACTCAAATTGCGCTGAATTCACTGTCCTTTTCTTCAGCTTCTCTGCTAAGGGCAGAAGAGGGCACAACCTCCTTCTGAACCTACAGAGCCTGCCAGGAGCTGGGAGGGGTTAAGTGGACACCATAAAGAATCCCCCAAAGCTCTGGAGCCCCAAAGACATCCAGCAGTTCACAGGCAACCATGCGCTCCCCAAACCACACTTGAGGGACCTGCCACTCACATCTTCACTCAGAAGTCACCTTCCTGCAGACCTCTCAGGAACTGTCAGTGAAACCCTTTTCCCAGCCTATGTCCTGGATTTAAAGAAAACCTGTTGCAGAGAACAAGTTGCAGATCCAAGAATGGTGGCTCTGTTTACCCTCTCTCTCCAAAGTAGGTGCTTATGGAAAGGCGCCCTGGTGATGGGCCACCGAAAATGAAAGGGCATGTCCATGGATGAGCGTGCATGGCCCCCCGTCTTCTGAGTCACACCTGCGCGGCTGGCTCAGCAGACTGAGTTGCCACAGGTCTCAGTAGAGACACTCAAGAAAAACTGGTGTCAACAGAAGAAGAAATGAGGCTGCTTCCCTCCCAGACATGCTTGGTGGTGTCTGGACCCTGAGGTTCCAGTTTGGGGGTTGTGGGTCATTACTGTACAACCCATTACGGTCACTGGTCTCTAACCAATTCCAGCAATTTGAGAGGCTAGCTCTGGATTGGACAAAGGGATGTGGGCAAAACATGCTGGGAACCTGAGAGATGGAGGAATGTTCTGGAGCCAGAGCCCCCAGACTCAAAGATTGGTTTGTTGCTAGCAACTTCCCATCCCCACTAAGTAAATCAGTGACTGTTCATTAACAACATGCTGGGGACCCAGGTTGTGGCCCAGCAAGTAGCTGTTTCTCGGGTCAGCTGCTTCTGTGGCCAAATCTTAGGGCTTTTCCAACCTGCTCTGACTGGACCCTTGGGTGTTGCATCAGTGAATTCCCTCTGTACCTGTTCTCTTCCTCCTGAAACGCTCAGAATTGACTTCTTCCTTCTTTGAATAAAGACTAAACTCCAGCCTCCAGACCCTCTCTCCGCCTTCTCACACTTTTCCCTTTCTGCTTAGAAGACATCCTCTTCTGGAAGCCACCTTCCCAGGGAAGGGACGGTAAGCCCCAGCCACTCCAAACATGCACACACTCCTCACGCCAACGTGCCTCTTGCTTGCCTCCAACGTGCTCGAGCCATCCTTCCGCCTTAAAACAATTCTCTCACGCACTCTTCTCTCTCCTCTCGCCTCCTGGGGTCCAGCCCTTAGCCAGGGTGGAACTGGGAACAAAGGAGGGAACTTCACCTCAGAAACCCATTCTCTAAGGCCACTAAGTTCTAGGACTGGGATGGGAGAGGGGGCTGATTGTCAAGGTCAAGTGTAAACCCAAGATTAAAAAGATAGGATTGGGGAAAGGAGAGCGCATGGTAACCCCAAC